CCCGGACGGTGAGAGGGGGCAGGCCGGGCTGAGGGACCCCCTTCCAGTGCATGAATTTTTATGTACCGGGCCTCTAGTACTGTTATAATTCTTCTGTTATAATTGTTGCTAATCTTTTATTGTGTCTAATTTATAAATTAAACTTTATCACGCTGAAGCGCAGGCAAGCCTTGGATGGCGACTGCCCAGCCGCCCAGGGCTGGCCCGAGGCTTGTGCTGGCCGGAGCAGCAGCAGCAGAGGTGTGATGGGGTGTCGCCTTCCCCTGATCGCCAGGTTGCCTCCCACCTCTGAGGCTCTCGGACTGTGAGAGGGGGCAGGCCGGGCTGAGGGACCCCCTTCCAGTGCATGAATTTTTATGTACCGGGCCTCTAGTACTGTTATAATTCTTCTGTTATAATTGTTGCTAATCTTTTATTGTGTCTAATTTATAAATTAAACTTTATCATATTATGTATGTATGGGGGGAAATAGTATATAAAGGTTCCATAATATCTGTGGTTTTAGGTATCAACTGGGGGTCTTGGAAACTCCATGGATAAGGTGGGAGATTACTGTATTAATGTTCTATTTTGGTCAGTAATATGGGCATAGCATGAATTGATAATCTGAATAAATGGATGAATCCATGGGCACTTCAACAGGTGTTCTCTAGGAAGCTTAGAGCAGAGAGTCCCAGGCCAAGAAAATGTGCAGTTATATATGGCCAGGAGTTGGGAGTTGTGTGTGTGAGTCATTTTCCCAGAGCTACAAACTTAGGCAGACTTAGTAGTTTATGTGAATTCCTAAGCCATAGATTTCCAAACAGGTCATTAAAAGAAAGAGAGGTGCAAAGGGTTTTTATGCAAAGTTCCCAGTGGCCAGGTGTAGGACACCCGAGGTCCCTGGAACCTTAAGCCCTAAGGAAGTTGTGTTGAGACACTGTCAGATGCAGGGCTCACTTGAAATCCAGATGCCTAGAATTCTGGGGCTCTCCTTATATACATGCTTATTCCCAGCCTGTCTGTTTCCTGTGCTGGGAGTTGGCTGTGCCCACTGGGTATTTGAAGGGAAGGAACCATGATAAGATATAATAACTGATCCTAGAAATAGCAGCTAATGTTTACTAAGGACTCACTGTATGCTATGGTCTCACTTAATTCATAGCAGCCATGCCAGGTAGAAATGATTCTGAGTCCCACTCTTCAGATAGAGAAAGTAGAGCTCAGTGAAGTGATTACATTTGCCAAGAGTCCCATGGTCATTAAGTGGGAGAGAAGGGACCTAAGCTATGTCTCTACCTTTTCTTGTTTTATCCTCATCCAAGGATATTTTTTCCATTGATTTTTTTTTATTTTTTTATTTTTATTTTTTCAATATATTTTATTGATTTTTTAGAGAGGAAGGGAGAGGGATAGAGAGTTAGAAACATCGATGCGAGAGAAACATTGACTAGCTGCCTCCTGCACACCCCCTACTGGGGATGTGCCCGCAACCAAGGTACATGCCCTAGACCGGAATCGAACCTGGGACCTTTCAGTCTGCAGGCCAACGCTCTATCCACTGAGCCAAACCGGTTAGGGCTCCATTGATTTATTTTTAAAGAGGGAGTGGAGGGGAGGGAGGTAGGGGAGAGAAAGAGAAATATTGATGTGAGAGAGACACATCGATTGGCTGCCTCCTGCTCGCACTGCGATTGGGGCCGGGGATCAAGCCTGCAACCGAGGTACATGCCCTTGACCGGGAATTGAACCTCTGACATTTTGGTCTGCAGCCAACACTCTAATCACTGAGCAACCGGCCAGGGCTGCCTTTTCTTTTTCATGACCCACCTAACTAGAGTGCTAGTTCTGTTGGTTAGAGCCACCTCCTTTGCCCCTTTCCAGGACCTTACCAGTAGCCCAATAGCTCATCTCAGAACAACCTTGTGAGATATTTGCAAATTGTTGCCTTCGCTGCAGGTATTAGCTCAATTGCTCAATTAGCAGAGTTGGCCCCAGCCCTTGATCATTATCTCTTTACTCAGGTATTGGTATTCTTGGACTTTTTTTTTTTTTTTTGCCCTGTCAGCATTACATGCCATCCTCTACTGTATTGAGCTAGTCATGGAAGGGGTAACAGGGTTTTTTTTGTTTGTTTGTGGGGTTTTTTTTGTTTGTTTGTTTTTTCAGAGAGGAAGGGAGAGGGAGAGAGAGATAGAAACATCAATGATGAGAGAACCATTGATGGGGCTGCCTCTTGCACACTTCCCACTGGGGACTAAACCTGCAACCTGGGCATGTGCCCTGACTAGGAATCAAACTGAGACCATAGATCAGCCCTCAACCATTGAGCTATACTTGCTGGGCTGGGTAACAGGGTTTTCAAGGAAGATAGACCTGTAACAGTTATCCCAAAGCCTCCTTTTATAACCAGGAACCTGGGACCCTGGGGCCTTATCCTTAGGGAGCTCTCTTCTGGGTCAAGAGGGGAAACCTGGCTCATCTTCACAGGACAGTCTCAGGCCTTCAGATTGTGGGGTTGGGAGGAAACATCACCATGGCATGGAGTAGCCAGGAGAGACTTCTCAGAGGAAGATAGGTTTTGGCAGTCATAAAAGACATAGAATTTGGATAGGAGGAAAGAGACCGTTCTAGGATAAATCCCTGAATCTTAGCTTGAGTGGAAGCTTAGATGAATGTGGCCTGGACAAAGGCCCAGCAAAGATGGGGATATCCTGAGTTAAGTCTTTATCTGGGGTGATAAGAGGTAGGGAGTGTCCTGGAAATGATGGTGATGTAGGGTTAGGAGTTCTTGAACTTTAGTCTATTGGTGCTGGTTACCATTGTAACCTCCTGGTCAGGAACATGGCATCTTGGTGTGCTTTAGGAAGATAAATTCATCTGGGTTTATGGGACAGGTTGAAGGAGGGGAATGTAGAGGCAGAGACTAGTTAAACAACAATGAGCATTTATTAAATAAAGGGTGTCCCAAAATTCACGCAAGATTTAATTTTACAAATGATATTATCTCGACATGATATTCCAGTTTTTTGTGCCTAAATTGCAAGATATGGCTGTGGACCTCAACAACTGCTAGCTATTATGATTAAGAGGGATACTTCCAAATATTTCCTTATATTTAAAACTAGAGGCCTGATTCATGAATTCATGCACCAGTGGAGTCCCTCAGCCTGGCTTGCAGGATTGGGCTGAAAACAACTCTGCAATATCCCCCAAGGGGTCCTGCATTGTGAGAGGGTGCAGGCCAGGCCGAGGGACCCCACCAGTGCAAGAATCTGTGCACTAGGCCTCTAGTATGCATATAAGATCTTTGGTTAATCTCTTCCCACCTTCCCCACTTCCCCCATCCCTCTGAGATTCATCAGTTGTTCTATGTTTTCATGCCTGTGGTTTCCGCTCCTGCATTGAGTGTCTGTTCCCTGGTGGTCAATGCACGTCATAGCAACCAGTCAGATGGTCGCTTAGGCTTTTATATATATTGACGTTCTGTATCCCAGGCCACTTTCCATTCTTTATTAACTTATTGAGTCTCAAAGCAACACTGTGAATTGGGTGCTGTAATTGTCTCCAAAATTTTTTAGGTGAGGAAATCAGTGTTAGTGAGGTTTAAGGTGACATGCCCAAGGTCTAGCTCAGCCGTGGGCAAACTACAGCCCACGGGCCGGATCCAGCCCATTTGAAATGAATAAAACTGTTGGAAAAAAAGACCGTACCCTTTTATGTAATGATGTTTACTTTGAATTTATATTAGTTCACACAAACACTCCATCCATGCTTTTGTTCCGGCCCTCCGGTCCAGTTTAAGAACCCATTGTGGCCCTCGAGTCAAAAAGTTTGCCCACCCCTGGTCTAGCTAGTAAGTTGGGGGGGGTTATACTATATGATTCTAGACTCCAGTCTTTTAATCACTGTCTTCTCTCTTTTTTTAATGTTTTTTTATTTTTATTTTTTTAAATATATTTTATTGATTTTTTTACAGAGAGGAAGGGAGAGGGATAGAGAGTTAGAAACATTGATGAGAGAGAAACATCGACCAGCTGCCTCCTGCACATCCCCTACTGGGGATGTGCCCACAACTAAGGTACATACCCTTGACCGGAATCGAACCTGGGACCCTTCAGTCCGCAGGCCGACGCTCTATCCACTGAGCCAAACAGGTTAGGGCAATGTTTTTTATTGATTTTAGAGAGAGAAATAGAAACATCAGTGGTGAGAGAGAATCATCAGTCGGCTGCCTCCTACACGCTGCCCACTGGATATAAAGCCTGAAACCAGGCATATGTGCTCTGACCAGGAACCATGACGTCTTGCTTCATGGGTCGAAGCTCAAACACTGAACCACATCGGCCAGGCGATCACTGTCCGCAGGAAGGAGGCTGCTTTTATGTGGAAAGTGGGTAGGGGCCCTAAGATAAAGAATAAGAAGAGTAGCCTTAGCCAGTTTGACTCAGTAAATAGAGCGTCCACCCACGGACTAAAGGGTCCTGGATTCCATTCTGGTCAAGGGCACGTTCCTGGATTGCAGGTTCGATCTCCAATCCCAGTCAGGGCATACCTGAGGCAACCAACAGTTGTGTTCCTCTCACATCAGTGTTTCTTTGTGTCTCTCCCCACTTCCTTCCACGCTCTCTAAAAACAGTAGAAAAATATCCTCAGATGAGGATTAACAACAACTAAAAAGTAAGAGTAGGCCTTGGAGATAGGGAGCTCATATCAAATTCTGAGCAAATTTGGGAGCTACAGCAGGTTTTTCGAGAGTAGGAGTGCTGGAACCAGGAAAAATTACTCTGGAAGCAGGGTGCATATGTTTGATCTCACCTATATAAGGATCAAGGTTGGGTTCATAAAAGAAGGGAGAAGAGATTGGAGCTGAGGGAGCAGGCTATAGGTTCCTCTCCTTGGGCTCATAGGAGTTCGCCACTTTGGCTTCCCTAACATTCTCTCATCTCCTTTGCAGCCATCGTCAGCCAGTGGCAGCAGGAGTCCAAAGAGAAGGTAGTGTCTCTCCTGCTGTCCCATCTGCCCCTGCTTCAGCCACGCAACACGGAGGCCAAGTCGGAGTACATGAGGCTGCTACAGAAAGTGCTGGCCTACTCGATCGAGAGCAATGCCTTCATCGAGGAGAGCCGCCAGCTGCTCTCTTATGCCCTCATCCACCCGGCCACCACACTGGAGGACCGCAACTCACTGGCCCTCTGGCTGAGCCACTTGGAAGAG